GATTAGTTGGAAAAATAATATAGCCCTTGTACTCACCCCCGTGACATTTATTATGGACCCAAAATAATGTCTCCCCATTAGCACCAGCATCTAAGTCATTCTTAAATTCAAGGAATGAAGACTAAGCAGATGACTAATAATTTCTCATATCTCCCACACAGAACCTCTGTAACTTTCCAGACCCACCAAGGTAATAGCACCTCTCCATTCTCCCATGGCCCTTCTATCAGGGCTAAAGGAACATGCACTCTGGAGTCAGGCTACTTGATTAGAACCCTGGCTCACCACTCACCATTACACCAGCTGTGTAATCGGAGAAAGTTACTTGCCTTTTCTGAGCTTTAGCTTTTCAACTGTTATAAGGGGACAACAGTCCTAATATCTGTTGTGAGGATTAAGCAAAATCTTAAGACTAGCCAAGTTTCTGACCCACAGTAACTAGCAGGGTTTTTTGTTTTCCTGCCTCCCAAAATGACAAGCTCCTTCAGGGCAAGGACCATGTCTAGTTCATGGCTATATCCTAGAGATGGCCAAGGCCTGGCACACTGGGAACTCCAAACACATGTCTGTGGAGACAACAGCCCAACTGACGCTGTGTGAAAGCAGCAGCTACTGGCCAGCCAGCCGGTCAGCACTTTTCAACAGCTGCACTCTCTCGGGGTTCACCCACTTTCCTGTTTTACCACCAACTGGCAGGCACTGCATCTCCAAGGCCTTTCAGAAGGAGCTTCTGGGATCACTGACAAGACACAAACAGAGTCACTCCTCCTGTGGATGGCTTCTCATCACTGACTACTCATCAATGCCTTCCAAGTGCTCTTAAAAACTTTGTTCATTGATGAGCGCTCTCTGCCTTTGAAAGGAACACTTATCTGTGTGGTCCCTATTTACTAATATACCTATGGGAGCCATTTATGACCCAATAGTCAGTGAACCCAAGCAGGAACTATTATGATGGGTTTCTGCATGACAAAGCTCTTACTTTCCCACTCTGATCGCCTCTGCCTGGGACAGGAGCTCACAGCCTGGTCAGGCAAACAGGCTACAAAACCCAAGGCAGGAAGACAAAGCAAGACTGCTGACAGGTTTACAAAACTCTGAATTTCCAAGAATCTGGCCCGTGTCTCTCATCTACAGACTGCATCCTAACTCAAGGCAGGAAAGAAAAAACAGATCCTGCCCCCAGCCACCCAGTACCAAAGCTGCCTCCCCACCAGCACTCANGATTAGTTGGAAAAATAATATAGCCCTTGTACTCACCCCCGTGACATTTATTATGGACCCAAAATAATGTCTCCCCATTAGCACCAGCATGTAGGTCTTTCTTAAATTCAAGGAATGAGGACTAAGCAGATGACTAATAATTTCCCATATGTCCCACACAGAACCTCTGTAACTTTCCAGACCCACCAAGGTAATAGCACCTCTCCATCCACCCATGGCCCTTCTATCAGGGCTAAAGGAGCATGCGCTCTGAAGTCAGCCTACTTGATTAGAATCCTGGTTCACCACTCACCACTGGTGAGTCACTCACCATTACACAAGCTGTGTAATCCGAGAGAGTTACTTGCCTTTTCTGAGCTTCAGCTTTTCAACTATAATAAGGGGACAACAGTCCGAATTGTAAGATAAATTCTAGCTGAAATAAGCATGCAAAGAGAGGCAACAAAGGGCCAGGTAATTTATTTGAATACCCCTGGGTGAGGTTCTGTGGCCTTCTTGTCAGAGGCCAGAGAAGTCACACCCAGTTGGGGAGGTGGGGGTCTTATAAGGGATTAGGAGGGGGAGGAGTGGGCAAGCTATTTTAGGGGGTGTGGAGAGGTATGATTGACTAAACGTGACAAGGTGACATAATAGACAACTAGGAACTTCTTTTCCTTCCAAGAGGGAGGAGGCTGACATCCAGGTCTTAGTTGGCACATCAGGATGGAATTCAGGGAGAGCTGTCCCCTTTCCAAAAACGGCACGGACTTTGGGGTCTGCTGACCGGTTTATAAAACTTCTCTGAATTCCCAAGAATCTGGCCCGTGTCTCTCATCTACAGACTGCATCCTAACTGAAGGCAGGAAAGAAAAAACAGATCCTGCCCCCAGCCACCCAGTACCAAACCTGCTTCTCCACCAGCACTCATGCCTTGACATCTGCTGTCCCCTGGGACGTGCGAGTGAGAGTTCGGGAACGCAGGCGCTCGCCCGCCTGCTGGATCTCCTGTAGGTTCCGTTCCACATGGGGAAGCTCTGAGATGCCTTCAGTCTCAGCGGCAAGCTATTCAGCTTGCTGAAGGAGCTCACCAAACCCCTCAGTATCCATTGGAGATAAAGANTGCCCAGCATACTCACTGCTGCATGAGGCTGAGCTGAGACCACAATAATATAGGTCTTCTGACTGACCCCACGTTACTCTCACACACCTGCCCCTTCACTAACATAGAAGACGGTCTTTTAAAATTCATGTCCAAGTCTCCATTCACACAAATCTTTACCTTACAAGGTTACTGAGAGCAGAGATCCGTATGTTTGGTACATATGATATTCAGAATATTAGCGTTAGTTGTTAATATACTTACTACTTTTAGAAATACCACTGCTGATAATATTTATACTAGTATAAATAGCACCTGGCTTCTAGACCATGAAATGTTATTAGCAAGACCACCCAGTGGTGCTGGTATTTAATGGATATTACGCATAGATGAATCTTACATATACTGTACTATCTTTCATATGTTTCTTGACCAAGAAAATGTTTTTAACTTCTACCACTGTTTACCTCAACACAAGGCAAACAGTATCACCATTATGAAAAAAATAAAATTTACATTGTTAAACGGTTAACAGCATCATTATCTTTTCAAAAAAGAACAAATTCTTTAAGTAGTAGCTCTTATTAATTATACTTTTCTACTTTGTTTTGAACCCATGGCTCCTACTGCACTTTTGAAATCCCACTGGTCTAGAACTGCAGTGACAATGTTATCACAGTACATAATTGTATCTCAGTTATGAAGCAACGGTTAATGATAAAAGGGCATGGTTAGCACCATAAATCCACAGTAAAAAAGAGTAAGGACTTTTTAAAATTAACATTAAAGGAAATTAACTTTAAAGGCAAGGGCAAAGGCTAACAGAAAAGTAGATGAGCTGTACTGAACATGGTGTTTTCATGTTCAAAGTGTCATGCTGACTTCAGTCTTTAGACAGAAAGTCATATACACAATAACTCTTTACCTAAAGTTTCTAGATCAGCTTTGTCATTTTTTTTTTTACTTACCAGAACTAAGCTGCACCTGGTAATCTGTACCTGTGGGAAAATGGGGATGGCAGAATGAGGAAGGCATTCTCATGAATAGAAGAAAGAAAAAGAAAGATATTTTTAAACAATGGCTCCTGCCTGATGGAGAAATGTTTTCCTCAGAAAACTACAAAGTCAATAACATTCTACTACGAGAATCATTGTCGCTCACCAGAAAGAGGAAAGAAAAGTAATATTCTGCCACTTCCCCCATTATTTTTTTATTCTGAAGAATAATAATTTATCTAACAGAGCCAAAGAGAAGGAAGTAATTTTTTTCCTTCCTAAAAAAGAATCTTGAAAGTACCTGAATAAAGAACTAAAT